CCACACGCATCTCGATTTTCTGCCAGGTGAAGTCACTCTGTGCCTGGATCAATCGTACCTAGAGCCAAGCGCATGGTTTTCGCCCTCCCTAATCGAACCGCTCCAAGGCCACATCAGGATCTCCTCAGAATGCTTCCCCTTCGGCACAGTTTACCCTGAACTCCGCGTCGAAACAGGTTGGCTTATATTGCCAGGCCACCCAGATCCAAGCACAGCAGCGTCACTCAAAGACATTTCAACCCATACACGGACACAAGCACGGCAGAGGACTGTGCTTCAGTGACGTGTTACCAATGATCGGTCCTTATTATCCCGAGGCGTACAATTGAAGACTGCTCTCGCGCCAAAAAGGAAACTTGCTCTTGCATCGGCTCTCCAAGGAGTCGTAAATGAGAGTAGTGTCTGATTCGTATACTCAGAAGAGCACAACCCGATGCGTCATTACCGCGCTGCCGCAAAGCCAATTGCCCTCCCCCGAGCCCATCGTGCCCTGGTGTCCCGAGTAGGGAGTCTGATAAGGCTATGGCAATGCTACCCTCAGCAGCATGGCTAGCTTATTAGGCTCACATGGCTGCATGTCTTCGGCAATCGGCCAGACGTATACTTTTAGCCTCATTGGAGAAATTGACGTTGAGTCTGTAAAGTGCCCTCGAGAAGCTACTTATTCCACCCGCATCCTGGCACCCTGCTGATGGCCGAAACAGCAAGACACCTGCGTGAACAATGCCGTGAATAATGACCGTGACCGGATAATGGACACGAGAAAAATCATGACTCCCGCTACGTCCGATGACCGCGTAGAATTTGAGTTTCCAAATGCCTCACGCGGCAGCCAGCAACAAGCCATGACCAACCACGTATCCAAGGCCGCGGTCGTCAGACAACTGAACACAAGGCTCAGGAAGCAACACTCGAACGGGCTGCCCTGGCCGAGTAAACGTGTGCAACGTTGCACAGGCAAATGACCAGCGTCAACGCTGTGCGGTCTTGACAGCCGACGACCACTCCTTAACGCTTTAGCGCCAGCACATAAACTCGAACCACGCCCTGAAATGCCCGCCGTCACGCGAATGCGAGTACCCGAATACTTCACTTGGATCGGGACACGCCCCCTTTACCTGGGTCTGCTGATGTGAGGGGCGGTGGGTTCAAGAATCTGAGGAGGCGCATTTTGCTCGTGCATTGGAGGACTCGTTGTTAAGCTTTTGCTGCGCGCTTTAGTTTAGATCAGCGGAAAACGCTATCATCATGGCCATAAAGATTCACTTTTTGTAATTGTTCAGGTAATTCTTTGGCGTTGTGGTCTTATGAT